GGGCACTATCGCCTGTTTGAATAGGTTCGCCCTCCCCGAGGTGAGTGCCGGCAGAGGTTGGGTTTGGTGGGAAAAAAAATTCAAGTAGCAAAAGAGAAACCCCGATAAAAAAAGCCTAAAAACACGCTAAAAATACCCCCAAAACCCAAACCTCTGCTTGGAGAGTAGGTTTGCCACAAGCTCAAACCTTTCACATGGCAAAACATTGCAACACCTTCATTCAGGCTACTCTCCAATTAAGCAGAGGTTGTGGGGAATGATCGTTACCTTTTTATATATGGCCGTTTTTTTTTTGTCCTGATCCCCACCACAGTCGGTGGGTAATGGAGCTTCTCTGGCTAATGGATACTGTCTGGCCAATTTGATACTGTCTTTTTGCCACCGAGAGGGATCTGCTTGGAGATTACATTCAGGCTGCTACAAACTCAGGTCTCATGTTTCACTTCAGAGCCTGTTCTACAGTATGCAAATGAACTCAGAAGGAGGCTTACTTGTAGTCTTTGCCTCAATGAACTATGTTTACTCCATTCAGACTTTTACTACTGGAGCTGAATTTTCATGTTTGTGGTAAGATTTTGGAATTTTCATGAGAGTAGCATAGTTCGTAATGCTAGAATACATTTGTATGTGGTGGTTTTTGTATTTTACTGGAAAAGCTAAGATAATTTTGAAAAAAGACTTCGGCTTCAATCTGAAAATTGATATGAGGGCGCTAGCTTGTAACATGAGGGCGCAGCGCCCTTGTTCGTCTGTTTAGAAAAACCTCTGTTAGGTGAAGCTAACCTCTTTATTCATAACATACTATGTTTCCATATCTGTTGTCTCTATATTCCAAAAGTTATTTGAAGAGAAACATGATCACTGTCTTGGTCAGCCTCCCACCCATGTGAATACCTCGGCTGTCACTTGCAGACTGAGGTTGTTTACATTACTGCTGGTTTTATAGTACAAGGCTGGTCTAGGGTATGGAAATGAGTAGGGGCGGGGCTAAAAGTTTTGAACAGGAGTTCTTTGAGAACTGCGGCATTCTTTTGCAGGGTGAAACATTTTCATCAAAATATTTCTGTGTGATAGTTGATGCACTAGACTGCAATTTTACTCCTGTTTGTGGTCTTGTATATAATGTTTAGCTTTGTTAATAATGCAACATGCATACGTATATTTTTGAAAAAGAGTTTTAGCTAACATTATAAAGAATTCTTTCCCCCTACTCAAAGTGAGCTCTCACAGATCGTGGGAACTTTGTGAAATTATGGACCTGTTTACTGCATTGAGAACAGACTTTTTCCTGCACTAAATGTTCATGTTTGAGGTAGGATTTTGGACTTTTTGAGAGTATTACCGTTTGTTATGCTAGAAAACATTGTTATGTTGTATTATTTCAACATATTATTCCCTGGGAAAAAGATCGTTTTGGCTAAGATCTAAGATGTGGGTGCACATGTTCCGGGCGGAGGGGTTAATGGAAAAAGGAGTCCAGTCCGATTGGCGGAAAAAGCAGTCCAGTCCGATTTGGGGGTGGAAAAAGCAGAAATTCTACGAAAGACCACAGGTACAATTATTTCTTGTGTGTGTACTTATAGTTTCTATGGGTACTTCGAGTTTCTATGAGTACTTCGAGTTTCTATGGGTACTTCGAGTTTCTATGACTACTTAGAGTTTGTATGTGAACTTGAATTAGCATATATGTGACTCACTATATGCCGCCTTAACCCGTAATTCAGGCAGCCTTGGGTGAGGAATAGCGGACAACCGATTTACACCTCTTGGGACCACCGAAAAATAGTTTCTATACATACAGGTCACCTATTCACAATAAACAAAAGTTAATCATTAAGGGATCCTTTCTTACAATTGTACTTCCGGTACTTACATGCTTGTCGGTGTACTGCGAAGTCTGCCATACGCGGCTTTAGCAGGGGCTGACTGAGGTAGGATTACTAGCAAGGTAGGCTAGCCTTTTCCGCAAACGCCTTTGGCTACAAGCCCTTCTTGTATTTGTGGGTACCGATGTTACATTGTCCGCTGTTCACTTTCTATAGAACAGCACTTTTCACCATTTAAAATACATTGCCGAATTGATCGGTCATTCATGTTTGATGTAGATAATCTTTCTGAAAGTTCTAAACTTAATCTTATAAATCTTAAGAGGCTCACATACATTGTTGTGGTATTCGGCAAATACCGTCTAATTGGCAGCAGGCGGAACCTAATCTGCCTATCGGGCACCAGCCGCATCTGGCATCAGTGCGTCACATCTCTCGTGCCCTGGTCATTCACTCTCAGCCCGAGTTAGCGGCAGGACGATCAGTATCTGACTGACACGTTATCTCCTTTGTTATGTCATAAGATCATGTTGTCCACCCAAGCTTATGTTAGAGATACACAACGTTTTCAGTTTCAACACAACGTTTTGAGTTTTAACTTTTGTAACATCACTGTTAATTTGTTACAATTTTTTATTCTACTGTTATATGGCTGTTATATGCTATATAGGTGGTGAGGTTAGTCATCTTAAGTTGTATTTATTGTGCTCGTCTAGTTTTTATTTAATGTTAAAAGGGCTGTTAATATAAGTGTTGTTTCACTTGAGTGCAGCCCACTTTGTCCTTGTCCAATTGTATTGTTTCTTGATAATGTAACAGTGGGGTTTATCATCTGCTAACTGACCAATTATGAAAAAAAGACTTTTGTGTCTTTTTACGTTCACGATCGCAAATTTGCCTGGAATGGAAAAAGAATAAACGTACCGTCTGAAATAAGAACGTACCAGGTGGATTTTGTACCTCTCGGACCCATCTGAGGACAACTAAACTATACAATCCTTATTAAAATTCTGATTTGGTTGTTAAATAATCCCATCAATAAACTTACAGGCATTTATATTATCAATTTGAAAGCAATATTAGAAATAAGTAGCAGTAGGCATCCTTCCATCGCAAAAGTCTGAAAAGATGATGGTAGCACAATTTAGTTAATAAGACATTATATACAGACGTGATACAGGTTTACTCAGTCAGTCTGAAGAAAGACAGCACATCGGTCATGCCAATATCAAACTGAGACTGTTAGAACTTAGATGACGTCCAGCTGCAGTACAGTCGTTTTATTATTTTTGTATAATCATATTTATGTACATGTATAGTCAGTGTACCTGGATAATGCCTCCATTGATCCCTCCCTCAATGACTCTCCTCTCTCCTGTGACCAAAACTAAATGTTAAATGTTTTAATCTGTTCATTTTCAGGGTTGCATACTGCAGCAATGAGGACATGTCTTATCAACAGAGCATGCTCAGGGCTTTAAAAGCTGCAGGGCTTGGAAAAAGCCTCTTTGTGTCAGGTGTGTAGCAAATCGTTTTTATTTTGACTTCTTTCTTATCTTTCTTGATTAGATGTATTTAATGCTGAATGATCTATGGCTGGAATATTGTATAGTATTTAACAACGATTGCAGTCATTACAAACGTTAATGCCCTAAAAAAGGGGCCTTTTGGCTTATTGTTAAGGCCACACCAATTTAATTTGTTGGTTCTCGGAATCGCCTCTTCATTTTTTCCTGATTTGCAAAAAAAAAAAACTGCAAAATGCTCATATTTTCCCCTGAACAGTTGAAAACAGTCCTTTTCTTCCAAGTCGTTACAGTTATTCCATCTTTCAATGCAGTGGTGTCATTAGAAGTTCAAAATTCATTGTTTAAATTTTGAACCAGCCTTTTGTGTTGACTTCATACCTCCTATAGTAGCATTTGGGGCTATAATAGGATGCCTAGATCTGTTTTTATTTTATTTTTTTCGCTCTGTCGCTTCATATTTTTCCTGAAAAAATCCGAGAACCAACTGTTACAAATTAAATTGGTGTGGCCTAAAGAGTAGAAATAGGCAAACATTAATACACAGATAACATGTCAGAGCAGCTACATGTACCTTTAGAAGACCATAACTCCCTTTATCCCAAGTTATCTGAGTGTCTGAAGCGATTGGAAGTTGAACCCAGTACCTCACAATTCTGCAGTTCACCATGTCACCATAACA